GGCGTGCTAGAAAAAATCTTCCAACTGAAACTGTGTACAAACACCACTGCCTACATTTTTTCAATATAAACATGCCAACTTACCGCAGCCAGTAAAAAGTTAATTATTAAATTTTAGTTAATTGGGCTGCTGACAGCGATAATTATCATCTAACTTTCTGTCCCCCTGGCCGCTTAACTTATTTGCACAAGTGGTTCTCACGTGCCTTCGAGCGCCTAATTTTAAAAAAATCATAAAGCTTAATTTTGAACACCCGGTATTTTAGTTATTGTGATCATTGAAAAAACTAAAATGTCGATCAATTTGGCGTGACTAGGCGTCATTTCTTCCTGTTAAAACAGAAGATCACAAGTACTGTGCATGCTAAAAAACCTGGGTATGTGTGAAACAAGTAAGCCACGCTGCAGATATCACCTGCATACGCTGTTGGTTGCCTTAATTCAACGGTGAAAGATGCCACGAACGGCGAATAAAAGTCCAAAGAATAGGTTTCCTTGTGAAACCGAGGCAAAGTGAACGGTAGTACATTTAAATATCACTGTTTAGTCATGAGTCGGTATCAGGCTAGCTGCCGTTGACTTGAAGTGCACTCGTGGATGACTCGGCAGTGATTGCCTTAGCGCGAGCCCTTAGCGATCTGGGGCCCATGAAAAGCAACTTGCGATCAAATTTCGCGCTAGTGCACACAAAATGACGTCACTTGATCACCAGCTATTGCGTCACATCCGCTTTATCTTTTGTTCCACAGGAAGTGTTCTCATCTCACAGAGATGGCGCTAAGCCCCATGAGCAGCTGATCAGCCGCCATTTTCTGAACGTATGGGCCTCTATGGATCCTTCGCTACCAGTCTATATATACCTTGGAATGAATTCAGTCGCACTACAGCAGTGCGTAGTAGGCAGGCACAAGTTCAACACTAACAAATACAAGAAACTACATAGATTACAAGAAACGTGGCATAGTGCGAAAACGTAGACAGTCGCCGAAAGCGACTATATATATAGACAATCGGCTCACAACGCTCACACAAAATCGCCGCTGCGTCCCTTTGTATGCGCGCCGCCGGCCACCTATCCACACTAGAGCGGCGACTGCTGCCAGCTCTAGCCCGATCTCGGCGCGATGCGCTGAAGATATTTTGTACGCGGCTATGTCAATTTTACCGCTTGAGCAGAATAAAAGGCATACATTAGATTGGGATGATTTCGCGGTCGCTGGGTAGCCCGAAAAATTGGACGTTGACTGCAACGCAACGGCGACGTTTAGCCCAAGTTAACTTGGCTCAGTGGGATAGTGTTGCGTCGTGCGCAAGTCATAAAGTTTATAAATAGTATATATGGTGCAAGTAAACCGCGCTGTTACTTTCAGTATGCATGTGTGGGGAGGGGGGGGGGGGGGCTCAAGTAGTTAATTTGGCAGTTTGGTGTAGCGCTAGCATCAATGCAGTCGCCACGGCGTCATAAAGTTTGACAGTCTACTAGGGTAGACGTAGCTCCTAATCATTGAAAATTAAAAGCACTGTCGCTTGCGAGAGCTAAAAAGAACATACCAAAGTTTCAGGAAATATCGAAGAGCACATGTGTGACCTAAAATACGAAAAAAAAAAAAACACGACGCTACCATTAGGTGGGAAACAAATGCTGTTTTTGGCATGGATTTGTTTATCTGTTTATAAATCTATTGTGGTGAAATTAATGACACAAGTTTTCAGAACATGATTAATCGATGTAAACTAATTTATTGGTTAACAGAGTCCCTTTCATAACGTGCAGAACTTAAAGCAAAATATACAGTGCTAATTTATATACCGGCGCAAAGGCAGCCACAATGTCATCAATTTGGCGTGACTAGGCGTCATTTCTTCCTGTTAAAACAGAAGATCACAAGCATTCTGCATGCTAAAGAACCTGGGTATGTGTGAAACAAATAAGCCACGCTGCAGATATCGCCTGCATACGCTGCTACACTGTTGGTTGCCTTAATTCATCGGTGAAAGATGCCACGAACGGCGAATAAAGGTCCAAAGAGGTGGCCTCTTATATAGAATTACACTTATGTAGTACATACATACTGCAATTATAGCAAACATGTCTAGTCTGCACTGTTTAGCTTCACCGCTCGCACAATAGAAAAAGAGCCAGCATTGAAGTCCTTCACTTCGTTTGTTCTAGGTTTGGCACAGTAAAACTATATTCCACATGCAGTTTCGGAAAATGAAGCCATATGAAGTCACGCCAAATCGCTGTTTCAGAAATGGAGACTTGGTCAGGTCGATGCCGATCCATACCTGCCAAGTTTAAGGATTCTGCATCTGGGGATTTCCGCAACGCTTATTTATTTTCCGCCTTCTTTTTGCACACACAAAAAAAAAACATCGCCAAAAATCGGGGGGGGGGGGGCGGTAAACATTGCCGTTGCGCGGTCTCACACCGACTTGGAGTTGCTGAACACCCGAGGGTAAAGTTTTCCAACAGTAGTGAAAAATGCGCGAATCTCATAAGGGAGCGAACATACTACTTGTATCTCTCAAAACCTTCAACATCGAAACAACTAGGAAAATCTATTTCTGTCAAAAGAACTCGCGTATGTCTCCCAGGGACACACGCGAACGGACGGGACGACGCTGCCGGTTGCTGGGAAAGCGCGGGTCAAAGCTTCGCTTAAGGCCGACTGATAACTTGGTATCTAAGTATAGCTCAAGTACCCAGATCGACTGGAATTCTCTGGAAAGAAAGGCCAAAACGCTTTCAGCATTTTTTTTTACGTCTTTATCGCTTCTACCGCTGCGTTTGCAGCGGTTGCGGAAACCGGTAGTTTCGTTTTCAATCCACGGGCGCTAACTGCGTGTACGTACCTTAAAAACCATGTCGTGTTTTGCTTTTTTTTTTGCGTTTGTGGAACGCAAAATCGCTTTAACTGGTCGAGTGTTGAAGGAGCGGGCACTTTCGGAGTCTGTAAAGTCGTTGCCACAAATGATCGCGTCAACAGCGATTACGGTTTCGTCCATAGCGGTTGTGGCAAACAATACCCGCAGTTCTGACAGTGCGTGTACAGTGTCTAGAAATATACTCTAGAAATAGTATACTTCTAGACACTGTAGTGCGTGCGCTAGCCACGCGTGTCCTTCGGAAGTTTCGAGCGCGCTGCATCTCGGCCTTCGTTGCGCGGTTTCGGAACTAAAGTTCATACGACCCGCCGCGATGAGGAAAAGTGCTCGGAACATGCGCTTTGTGGCCCAATGCACATGGTGGAACTTGACTGGCGAATTTCCCGAACTCGTATATCTGCCGGTTTCACATCATTGAGATACTACTGTACGTTTACATGAACGCCTCCCAGATTCGTTCACAATAAAACGCGATGGGTTCGGGAAAAAAAAAATAAATTGAGCTGCATTTTCGTCAATGCGGCCAGCTTGAACGGCGACCTCTCGTGAGTCGAGTCGCTCGGACTCTGATCGAGTCGTCAGTCCGAGTGAGTCCAGGTGCGTAACATTTTCGCGAATCCGACTCCGAATGAATCCGGCAGAAGAAAATATTCGCGTGAGCGAGTTCAGATCAGAAAACTTTTGGAAAGTCCGAGTCCGAATGAGTTCAAAGTGCAGTACTTATTTCTTGAGCGAGTTCCACTTTCTTTTGCGGACCTCAAGTCCTCCGAGTCCGAATGAGTTCAAAGTGCAGTACTTATTTCTTGAGCGAGTTCCATTTTCTTTTGCGGACCTCAAGTCCTCCGAGTCCGAATGAGTTCAAAGTGCAGTACTTATTTCTTGAGCGAGTTCCACTTTCTTTTGCAGACCTCAAGTCCTATCTTAGTCATCTTTAGCAATACTGTTAGCATTACCTGGATTCACTTTTATATTCATTCACGTCTACTCACAGGCATTCCAAAGCAGTGCAATTCCTACACAATTTCAATATTTAACGATCACAGGCGTGGATTGCATAGAAGGGTTATTATCAATTACTTCCATGAAATTTCTTGATAATTATGTCTTATGCTATCATTTCTTCAAAGAACAATGACCTCCCTAGTTTGCAAGCACTCGGAACTAGTTTTCGAATATACTATGTCGAATGGCACTGAGAAGAGCACCGACTACGTGAGACATTAACGTTAAAAAGCATTGACACAATGGTCCAAGAGGCTAATTTTAAACTAACAGACTCATGAGTCAACTCACTCAGACTTTGAAGCAAGCCACGAGTCTTAGCGAGTCCAGGTGCCTAGCGTTTTGAAAAGTTTGAGTCCGAGTCTGGTTCAGGAAAATTTTTTCGAGTCAGAGTCCGAGCGACTCCAAAGCTCGAAAATATATTTCATGAGCGAGTGTGAGCGGGCTCCACAAGTTTTGCCGTCTAATGGCAGCCAGATCACAAAGAGAAATTTCTATTTCCCAGAGATTTTCCCAACAACCGTAGTAACGCAAGAACTGGTCGAAATCGGGGAGACTTGGCAGGTACGCCAATCTACCACATAAAGGAGGCCGCAATTTCGATTGTGAGTGCTAAAGAAATTCAAGGATTTTCAAGGATGGGGAAAAAATCTAGGTCTTTCAAGGGCCTTGAAAATGCATTTTACAAATTCAAAGGTTTTCAAGGTTTTCAGACCTGCACGCACCCTGACAAAGTATTAAACAGTCTTGCCAAACCTGCCTAGCGTACATGTAAAAAGTTTGCAAATATGCTCATAAAGTGGCAAGTAATGAATAAAGTTTTAGCACTGCAACAATTCAAAGCTTGTATCATGCCATCCAACTAAGAACACTAGCGCATAACCAACTGACAGCACTTTCCACGCATAACCAAGAAGCGTCTAGCAATATCCCCTCAACATTTTCAGACATGCCGACACACGCGTGACATATACTTGGGCAGCTTGTTCAGTGTAAGGCAACATACACTAGTTCAAAGTAATAACTCGGCAAAAGCTTGAAAGGCCCTTATCTCTCATGCAGACTACCTCTGGGAAATGATAATAGTATTCATAACATGAACAGCCAGGATCGAGGCAATAAAAAGCTAGTTTATTTCTGTATTATTTATTGGCACAGAAAAAGCACTGCATTGCTCACCTTGAAGGCACTTCATGGTAAACAACTTCATATAAGGGAATACATAACAAGTTTTTAGTTGTTAACAGTGACAGCACAAAGTGAACTACACATTTATGAAATGACATTATTCACAAATGAACAATTTTAATACTATGTACAAAGTGCAGGAAACATGAAAAAAATGCAGTCTACCCCTTTATGGTGCAAGCCTTTGCCTTTTGATCTAAAACTTCCATGCTCTTCTCTTAATGTCAACAACAAACATTTCCGGATAAACAGACACGAATGTGATATGAAAGAAAAGTAATAAACCACTAATACTTTGAGCGAGAATGAGTAAAACTGTATTTAATGGTTCTTACAAGCAAAGGTTAGAGTGTGAAGCTTTAAGAGTTCAACTCCTGCAAACAAGCTGCCTTTAGAAAGACTTTTTCCCCCCTAATTTTTTGTATTATTTTGTTGTTTTACGTACATTACAAAATCACATTACACACAAGCCTACATTACAAAATCACAAATACTAAGCATAAACAGTCGGGCTTGTCTTCAGCAGCTGCTGCTCCCAGCTGAATGTTTCTGAAGTGAACATTCTTCTGTTACTGCCTGAATTGCCCCACAAAGCTAATCACAGAATTGATGGCTTCATCCACATTCCACTGCTCATTCAAGTACAGGACACGAATGCAGTCTTGAGTGTGATGCTCTACAATACCCCATTGTTCATACAGCTGGACTGCATTGTGCAACGTGTCAGCAGCGAAGCTTTCCTCTGAAAGAACAAAAGAATTGGCATTAGATAATGCACCAACAAAGCTAATGAACTATTTGTGGTAAAATGTTCAAGCAAAGAAATAACAGACACGGGAGTGTCATGATGAACATTTCTCCAATGGCTCATAGGGTTGCGATGCTCGATGAAGGTGGTCCAAGAGTTCTGTATGTGCTGGAATGCACACCACTTGTTTGACTGCGTCTCAATGCTAGTCTTGTAATCATGCATTGCTGCCTATGCTTTTCATGCTCATGAAAGTTGCTCTAACAAAAAACTTGACAGTGTTACACCCATGTAGTTTCGTCTGATGCCCAAATGGTGCACCGCTGCTTGAGCAACAGCCGCTGCAGCCTCAATGAAACTAACAAGACTTTCTAATGGGCGCTGCAACAAGAACCCCTACATTTGAAGCGGCTTAATGCCATGCCTCCGCAATGATGTGCTAAATGACCAAAAAATACTGCATGTGAGCTCTCTGCACTTTCATGCAGAGAATCACACGATAAACCGCAACCTTGGCAAAGCTTGTAATGTGCCCTTCAGGGCAGAAACCACAGCATCGGTGGCGGGCAGTAAAAATGAGCAATGTTGGGCAAGGCGAATGCCATGTCAGAAGGCCTTATCAGGCACGCTATTTGAAGAGCGCAAACACTGTGCGAATTTTCTTTCGTTGGTGGGAATGCCTTATAGCATTTTGAGCAGCCATTTGATCAGGTGAATCAGGCAAAATCTTATTGGAGCAGCTAGTGTGCTAGGGATCAGGAAGGGCTTTTCATGGTTCGCAGAGAGGAAGAAAAATCAGCTTTAATTTACTGCTCTCTAGTTTACATAATCATTTAATAGTTTTTGGAGTTTAACGTTTCGAAATTTATACATAAGCAGCGAGCTCTTGGCACGAAATATGAACAAAAAATAAACAAAGGTGGGATTATGTACAGGCACAATGACACAAGATAGTGAAGGATGTTGCACAACACAGGATTACTTCAGCATGAATCCCACAGCGACACACATACATACACATGCACACATACACACACACCAAATACAAATTTGCATCTCCTTACAAGCACCATCATGCCAGCCAAGGAATACAGTGCCCCAGCAAATATTGCACCATTTGAAAAGCACGGCCTGGCAGCATACATAGCCTGAACCTCCTTAGCGAAAACTGACACATATATTAAAATGCAGTATGGTCGCAGGGAGCCAATTGTCTACTGGCTACTTGCGTGCAGCACTTTGGCTATTTGTGTCATAAAAGTTTACTGAGGCACCGAGCTTTACGACACCCCAATGTTTTATTTTGAGAAAAAAAAATTAAGATCTGTCAAATAATTTCGACTTCCGCGCCATTGTGTCGACGCCTTTGCGGGCAAGCATAGAGAAAAAACAAAGGCGAGGTAGCAGCCATTGACATGCAGGACCAATTTGAAGCATGCACCGCTTTGTAAATGAAAAAAAAAATAACTTGCTGTTGGGAAGTTGAGCATTGCAGATTGTTTACCTAGACAGATCGCTGCATTGACACTTCCACATCAAACGCATGTGAACGGGTCAGCAATCGTAGTGCTATTGTAACCATAATGCACACTTTTATTAGGCTACAGCCCAAATGCGCCTCTGTCGGCTGCCATCACTGCTAGAGCGTCGAGGATTGCGCAAAATTTGCTCAAACCATATTTTACTATAAAAGCGTGAAAGACGAAGACAACAGAAACACAAACACAACAGAGTAAGTGCTGACTGGAAAACTATTGGGAGTGTAGTGGAGCATACGCACTAACGCGTATGGGCGTTTCAAACAGAACGAAAAACACTGTGCTCTGATTGCGCGAGAACCTGTGCCGCCTTCGCCAGACTTGCCGTACGCCCATTTTCCGTTGTGACCTCGCTGCAACTCCTCTGTTTGAATAAACATCATCGCATTTGGTGGAGGTGCTGAGATCCCTAAGCAGACCTGGAGTTCCGCTCTCGCAAGATGGCCGAAAGACCACCCTACAACATGACTGACGCAGTCGCCAACCAGCCCATCCCAGCACAGCCAGCACCATCGGCTGCCCCGTCGACTTGCCCTGGCGCTACCTGTCAGCGGGACCCACCAATCTTCAGCGGCAGTGGTGAGCAAGACGTCGAAGACTGGCTCTCCTTGTACGAACACGTAAGTGCCAGCAACAAGTGGGACAACGACTCTAAGCTCGCCTATGTTATCTTTTACTTGGCTGACGTCGCTAAGCTATAATTTACCAACCGCGAAACCGCCATCGCCAACTAGTCCACCTTTAAGACCCTCGTGACCGAAGCTTTCGGCCGACCAGAGGTCCGCAAACTCCGCGCTGACCAGCGTCTACGCCACCGAGCCCAGCAGCCTGGCGAGACTTTTACTAGTTATATTGAGGATGTGCTCGACCTCTGCAGGCGTGTTAACCCATCTATGCCTGAAGAAGAGAAAATTCGACAGATTCTCAAGGGCATCGAGGATGGCGCATTCCAGATGTTGCTGGCGAAAAGCCCGACCACGGTGGCAGTCCTCGTAAGCCTGTGCCAGAGCTTCGATGAATTGCGTCATCAGCGTTCCATCACCTGACAGAGTGTCCCATCACCAGATTCAATCTCGGCCGTCGCACTCGCAAACGGCAACGTATGCCAAGGGACTCTGTCGAACCAGATTAAAGACTTCATCAGGGAGGAAGTCGCCCGACAGCTCTCCCTGCTGCCGCATAGCGACGCGCCCACCACAAGCCTCCCTTCCACACTGCAGCAGGCTGTACACACCGAAATTTGCGATGCCCTCCCTACAGTTCCGGCCCCTTACCCATGCACTTCGGTACCATCTGATGTATCAACTGCCGGCTACGCACCACCTGTGCCAACTTCACCTCTCAGCTACGCAGCTGTGGTCGCGTGGCCCCCACCGCATCCAGTTGCCTTATCGGCTCCATCTCATCCGGCCTCGCCTCCAGTTTACACTCCCCCACCTCGCTTTTTCCGTCCATCTAATGAGTGGCGCACCCAAGACAATCATCCTATATGCTTCGCGTGTGGTATCGCTGGCCACGTTGCACGCTTCTGCTGCCGCCGTCCCACACCTGCGCACGCATACTTCGTAACTCCTACCTACGCGCCGCAGCAGGTCACCACGTCTGCATATGGACAGAGGCACTCAGATTCGGATCGCCGCCCATCGACTGCTTGTTTCCCATCCCCTCGTCGCCGATCGCCATCGCCTATGCGTCGTCGACCACCTCCTGAGGAGGGAAACTAATCAGTGCAGTTCCGGAGGCAAGAACTGCAACTTGTGCGCAATTCCCAAGGCCTCCGTTTTCGCCGCAAAATGTTGTTGATGTCGATGTTGAGGGAGTCTCCACATTAGCATTAATTGATACCGGGGCCGCCGTTTCTGTGATGAACACAGAATTTTGTTGGAAACTGAAGAAAGTGACCACATCTCTCCGTGGCATGGTACTGTCCACGGCTAGCGCACAACGCATTCATCCCTCGGCTGTGTGTACGGCGCACGTCGTCATCCAAGATGTTTTGTACGTCGTACAGTTTTTTGTTCTACCATCTTGCTCTCATGACCTTATCCTCGGTTGGGATTTCTTATCACGTCATGAAGCTATCATCGATTGTTCCCGTGCCGAAGTGTCCCTTGTGCCAACATGTGAATTTCCACCGCCCGACTGTTCTCCTCTGCTCTGCAAACTCATCGCTGACGACGACATCACCTTGCCCCCGGAAGCTTCGGTCCCTAATAAGCCTTTCATGTGTGGCGCAACCCGACTCCCCAGTGGTGATTACGCCATCTCCGGTTTTTACTGAATGCAAGGGCATCGTTCTTCCATTTGCCGTTCTTACAATTGCCTCTGGTTTAACCATAATGCTGGTTAACAACCACTGCAACTACCTCATTGGCTTACTTCGTGGTGAAACGTTGGGATATGTGCAACCTGTCGACCATATCGATGAAATTATTCTTCCCGACGAAACGCCATGTCACATTGCCGCAATTACTCATGCGTCTGAGCAATCAAGTTCGTCAGCCTTCGACAACGCTATTGACGCAGACCTTCCCCTCTCGCATCGCCGCCAACTTGTTGCTCTCCTTAACAAGTTTCGCTCTTCTTTCGACTTTCAAGAACCTGCTTTGGGCCGCACCACGACTATCACTCATACTATTGACACCGGCTCACATTCGCCTCTGCGACAGCGTCCTTACCGCGTTTCCGCCGAAGAGCGCCGCGTCATTACGGAGCAAGTAGATGACATGCTTAAACGTGGAGCCATACAGCCTTCTCAAAGCGCTTGGTCCTCACCTGTGGTTCTGGTAAAGACAAAAAAGATGGCACCGTTCGATTTTGCGTGGACTATCGCCTCTTAAAAAAGATTACAAAGAAAGATGTCTACCCGCTACCACGAATAGACGATGCTCTTGACTGTTTACAAGGTGCCGAGTACTTTACATCCTTGGATCTGCGTTCCGGGTATTGGCAGGTACCAATGGCTGAATGTGATCGCTCTAAAACAGCCTTTGTAACGCCGGATGGCCTATATGAGTTCAAAGTCATGCCATTTGGGCTCTGCAATGCCCCTGCCACATTTGAGCGCATGATCGATACCATCTTGCGTGCCCATGAGTGGAAAACTTGCTTGTGTTACCTGGATGACATCGTAGTCTTTTCATCTGATTTCCCGACACATATTGTTCGCCTCCACGAGATTCTGACGTGCCTAACTTCTGCAGGCCTACAACTTAACTCCAAGAAGTGCCACTTCGCAGCACGAAAACTAACCATCTTGGGACATGTCATCACAAGAGACTGTGTTCTCCCGGATCCCGATAAGCTTCGAGCTGTCGCTCACTTTCCGTTGCTCACATCACTGAAAGCCCTACGAAGTTTCGTCGGTCTCTGCTCCTACTTTCGTCGCTTCGTGCGCAACTTCGCGTCCATCATCGCACCTCTCACGAGTCTGCTTTACAACAGCAAAGGTATATC